GTGGAAGTGAAAGCCCGTTCAATTGGAATTAGACCGAAGTCAGCAGCTGGTCCTACCCACTCCGCGAGCATGCCCGCATCTCGTCCCGAGGGCACGTGCAAGACATTCTTCTTCATCTACTTCTCCGCCTTCCCCAACCTACTTTCTACATTTTCTCATATTCATTTTGAATTTTCTCCTAAAATAAAGAATACAATAAACATACGATACTTAAAACAACTAAATTTAAACATTAAAATAATAATAATATACCTTAAACAAAAAAACAATAATTAATAACAATAAGATATTCAAACAACTTATTAATTTCGTTTATCACATACCCAATCTTCTTGTACTCGACTTGTACATCCACCCGAGCTTTCTTTGAAGCGCATCTGTCTCCAACCCTCAATATGATGCGGCTTCAGTCCTAGTTTTTTCTATAATAAGTCAAAAACAATAAATATATTTATATAAGTGTTAATAACAATTTTAAATAATACTAATATTTTTATTACCTGTAAATAATGTCGTTGAGCTTAGGATCTACATCCATGAGCACTTGTGTGCGGAAGTTTCGATCTAGTAAGTTTATTTTTGGCTGAAGTGTGTATATATTCATCGGTCAAAAACAAAAAGTCAATCATCTTATTCCAACCTTCGGTGGACCAATCAGTCGGTGGATGTCTTCTTTCCCTTTGCACATCCACATATCCATCGACTTTCTCAAAATGTTTTTCCATGTCATGCTTGCGTTGTCGATAAACTCTTTGCATATCTGCTTGGATACCCGCTCGGACGGGTTCCCACAAGTCTGTGCCCCGACACCGATCAAGATCAAAATATGTTTGCAAAAGAAAAAATATATTTGATTAGTAAAAGAAATATTTAATAAGTGTAAAATTCAATACATATAAAATATAGTTTATACTTACTTCTAGCTCGGGATATAAATCAATCATCTTATTAAAAGCATTCTATCTCACTTCTTTTTCATATTTATACTATTTTCACCATCTGAATTTTGGTTTTTTTTTTCAATTTTAGCCTCGTACTTTAAATAATTTGTTTTTTTTTCTATTACATTTGTTTTTTTCAATTGTAACATTGTACTTTAAACAATCATATTACCTAATTAAATGCAGAAACTTTAACTTATCACTAAGCAATTATCATGAATTTAAAGACAAACACTTTAACTTATCAATTAAGCTCTTTATCATTTCATGCACTCAAACTAATAAACTTAAACAAGTAACACAAGCATACATATTTCACATTTTATACATACAATTTCAATGTCATAGAAACCTAAACAACTAAATTAACATTTTATATATACAATTTAAATTTCATATAACATTTTATACACAATTTCAATTTCATATTAAACCTAAACAAGTAAATAAACATTTTGTACATACAAATTTAATTTCATATAAACATAAACAAATAACACAAACACACAAAGACCAAACAAGTAACACAATCATACATTTGTACAATGACCAATTTCAATTTCATATAAACCTATACATACAATTTCAATTTCAAAAAAATTAGAAAAAACTAATATGTTCTTCTTGTTCTAGTGGTCGGATACTGGTCGTCAGCTTTAATGGTGGTCCTCTGGTGGTGAAGGAGCGACCAATTGTGATTTTTCGTCGTTGCAGATCCAAAGAGAAGGGTGACCTCATCGGTTGTGCAAATAAACAATGGAATGAGTTATGTTAGGGCAAAACCCTATGCCGACGACATGTCAGTATAGGGTTTACATAAACGACGTCGTTCGCTTTTTTGCTGAAATAAAAAAATAAAAAGTTGTACCGACGACAAGTCGTCAGTACAACTTTTTCACGCGGATCGCCACGTGGCATGCCGATGACTAGTTGTCGGGATTGCTTTCAAAAAAACTACGTTGTTTCGATATTCTACACCTTGGAATAAAAATAAATTAAAATTATATTTACCGTACCCTATACCGACGGAGTGTCGTCGACATAGGTTTTCAGAAGACCAAGAAAAAAGTCGTAGTTCCCGCCGAATCTGTTGCGACAATGTGTCGCCGGCATAGCTTTTCAGGTCAAACATTTATGGTCAAAGTTGGCAAAAGCTATTGCGACGACAGGTCGTCGGTATAACCCTTCTTTTAGCGATGACAAAAGTTGTCGGGATGTCGTCGCCATAGGTAGTTATTCTTGTAGTAGTAATGCTCTCCAATGCCCAAGTTAGTATCGGAAATAATTGTTGCTTGATATTTCTATACGGAGAAGGTTTTTGGAAAATGGATGCCTTTTACTTATCGTCACCAAGTTATTTAATTGTGGATAGAGTAACCATGGTTACTGGTGCTACCCTTGAAGAAAATTATGAATCTTTCCCTTTGTTTCCTAAAATATCGTTTTAGCACTAGTGAGATATTGTTTAATTGCGGTAATGCTCTTTAGATGAGCACATGTGTAGGCGTATTGAGGTAGATGACCCTTCATCAAGCCGAATAGGAGAATCAATCTGATCGGACTGGTATTGTGTATGGGCTCGGTTATTGGGGGACGTTCCTTTGACTCATGATTCCCTGATACTTGACTCTAGGAGCTTGATGATTCAGGAGGTTTCACTATGCGTTCGGTTTGGTTTTTAATTGACATCGTCAATCTCCCAGCTAGTTATGTGGTTACACATTGGAACAAGTTTCTCCCCATTAAAATTCATATATTTTGGTGTAGACTTGCTTTGAATCGATCCATCCCAACAAGGGTTAATTTGGAAAAGAGAAATTAAATATCCTTCTACCCACATTAAATGGTGACAAGTGGACTAAAATATTATCAATTTCATTAAATGTGTCATTAAATGTGACACATGTTAACATTTGATATGATAGGAATATAATAATAAAATGTATTTGATATGATAGGAATATAATAATAAAATGTAGGAGATATTTAATTTTCTTTGGAAAAAGAGAGGTACTGACTTATTTTATTCTCTTTGTCTAGTTTTCTCTAATCAGGTGGAGGATGTGGATCATCTCTTTTCTTATACCCTTGCGATACGGACGTTGTTGAAGGTTAGGTGGTTGCTGGAGATTATTGTTTCCCTGTTGAATAGTATTGGAGATATGTTTTCGTGGTTGGATGCTTCTTCTTTTCGAGTTGAGTGTGAATAAATCAATTATGGAAGTGATCTGTTTGAGAGTGTTGTGGAATCTATGGGGATGCGACCATCTTCCGAACAAAGAAGTACAACAAGGCGGTCATGTTTGATAATTTCGTTGCTTTTTTGTTCAATTTGTATAGTTAAAGAAATAGAAAAGATAGTCATAGAATTGGACGGCGTGGATTAATAACCTCATCATGTAATTGTTCTTTATTCCCTTTGTGCTAGATTTTTGCTAGCCTCTTAATAAATTTTGAAGCTGTTCCATAAATTAATAAATAAATAAATAAGTTTATAATGCTATGTGGTCATGATCAACAGATACCTGGTATTACACTCTTATTTTTGACGAATCATACTTGTTCAGCTAAATATCAATTTGAGTTAATTTATACAACCTGGTTGGCCTTGTACATAAGAATTGAAGAGTATCGTTACTATTTATGTGTAACCAAGTGATCTTTAATTGTTTTTCATGAAAGTCTAAATGTTATTATTGAAAACCAATTTAATTGATCTGTTATTCATTCGCTGTTAAAGACATATATAGTAATACTTACCTAGGGTATTACGAACAAAATTTCCGTAGTCATTTGTCTTCTGTCTCACGTTCCCTAGTTCAAGAATAAAGTGGACTCCAGAACGAAATCAAATAATTTGTTAGTGATAGCTCTTTTTAGCGAGGGTTCTAATTGCATGTTAAAAGTTAGACAGCTAGCAGGCAGTGTGAAAGAGAGAGATCTCAGCTTTATTTATTTATTATAATTTGGACAAGTGAACCTACCCTTCAAAGAGCTTAGAATTATTCTTAGACCTTTTGATTGTTCGACCCACATATGTAAATTATATACATAAATTGTATATCAATCTTCCTTTCATACCAAATCAAGATTTTTAAAGACAATTATTAATGTATATTTAAATGCTAAAAATTTGAACTACCAATTCTTTCCACGGTTAGGTACAGAATTAATGTATGTATAAAATTATTTTGTCCAAGGCAAAATAATAATGATGTTATGCTAGACGTTATAATGTTTTAAAAGAACAATACTTTAAGAATATATTGCAAGGTATTCATATATCTACGATTTATGTATTAATTATAGCCCTCATAATAGATGGCTAAGAGAACCCACAATTGGTCTTTGTTTCCACTTTAAACAAAACCACGAATTAATCCGCCTTTCTCGAAAGGTGTAGCAGACTAATTGATTTGGGGCATGTTTAATCGGGTACAAATGTTGTAAGCATATGCGAAGGCCCCGTTTGTTATGTTGTGCCACATATTTAAGACGAATGATCATGTCCAGTTTGTAGTCAACATTCTAAAAGCCACCATTTTGTTTGGAAAACCATATTCAAATATATATATAACGACTTATTGAATGCTGACGCATACTATGATGCCTAAATGTTGGAGTAAATATACTACCAAGATAACTGTTCTGACCAATATTTGACCATAAATTGAGAAAGTAATACAAACACCAAGAGTTTAAGGATTCACCTTATGAAAAATTAGCGGAGACATTTAAGGAACCAAAAGTTTAAGGATTCACCTTATGTTGTGGAAATCAATTACTTAAATACACAATGACACATGAACATTGGCAGAGGCATTTAAGAACCTTACAAGCAATTAAAATAATTGATCATTATCAACTAAGGGTTGTACTATCTTTGATCCATAGCTTTTAGCTAAGTGGTACAACAAGTGGTACGTTTTCAACTATTATAAAATTGAGTCATTACATTATTTCCTTTCCAGAAAGCAAATAACTTAAAGTGTAAACCTACGGTGTATAAGTACCAACATCACGAAGGAATACATAGAACAGATAAGTGCAGGCAATCATATGGGAAGAAACAGCTGGCATAAGAAACCTTCGTTCACCATCCTCAACATTTTCAAAGCTAAGAAGGCTAAAGGAAATGAAGAAGTTGAATGGGATGATTATGTAAAAGCTTACAAAGTTTTTTCAAGTGATCAAGATGGAGCTCGTTGGGTGGCTCAGCCTGGTATCGATAAACGAGCTGGTGCTTATATTGACAGTATTACAGGCGGGTGGAACCATCTTGGCATTGCCGACTAGTTGAAGTTGGTATTCTGGCAGAATGTCATTTTCATGTTTGTTTTATTTTCAAAGCTTAATGCATGTTCCTCCTTTGCTTCCCGTAAAATGTGCAAAATCATAATAAAGAGTATTGTCCAAAGCTGTATTCGTGTTCACTCATGATCATTAATATGATCGGCAATAATAACAAGAGTGGTTTTTAACTTTGCACCGATTTGTACTCTCTATTCAGTTCCACAGATAACTTTGCGGAGAGAACTTCTATAATCCACTCCCATTTGATAGTCCTTTACTAACTTATGTGCGAATTATACCAAATGGTGATGCTCAATGAATCCTTGAAATCAATATTGGATTTTTGTAATTCAATCTCCGCAATATTTTTTATATCATGAAATTCAAGTTCCGCAATATTTTTTTTATATCATGAAATTTTTTCTATGGAAATTGTAACTTCAAGTTTTATGTAAAAAACAGCAATTGTTTACCTAGATTAGTGCTAAACTTTGATCATACTAGTGTAACTCTAGATTTGAGAATCGTATAAATCGGTATTTCTACAAATAGCTACACTATAAATGGATAAACATGAGGTAAATTAAGATGGTTTTTCAAGTGCAGAACACAAACAATTAATTAAACTAACTCTTTGATTAAGTGAGAAAATAACTCAAAACTCAATTGTTTTCAGCATACATTAACATGACTCGTTATCTATGTATATATATACTCCTAAACTACCGAACTCGTAGAATCAGAATAAGACTAAGACTAGGAAACTTAAACCAACTTGCTTAAGCCCCAAGAAATTGGATCCTAGAGTCATACTTGACTTAGGGATTCCAACAGTTTTTAGCGGTTTTGGATCACTCGGCACCACAATATTAGAATTGAAATATCTATATGCTCAAAATTCATTTTAATAAGATATTACTAATAACATATGATTTTAAAGGGTCAGACCAATAAGAAGTTGACACAAATAGATTATTTATAAGAATTTGGTTCTTGATAAATATTTATAACTCTTATAATTAATTGTAAATTATTTATTTTAGAAAAATATTAATTTTCAATGTTAAGTATTATAATATATCGTAAGGTATGATATGTAGAGTCATGTACATTTTTTTGGACTAGAAAAACTTGTGTTCTTAACTAAAAGATTAAAAGTTTATATCTTATAAAAACTTGAAAGTTTTTTTATATCAAAATATTTGTCTTGTTTCTCCTATTGTCGTGGATTGACCAAGAGGGGACAAAGAATGGGGTTTTGATTATTTTAATTAAGGACACATGCTTTAAAAGCATGTCTTGACAAAATGATTAAGTATGGTGTGTAAGAGGCATGGTAGGTCTTAAAATGTTAAGACCTAATGGGTAAACCATAAAGGCTTAAGAGCTCTTCTCCTCACTCCAAGTCGCGACTTTCCGTTTCTATTCCCCTTTCTCTCTTAATTATTAAAGAAAAGAAGAAGTTATACTTGCATTCTCTCTTTTAACACAAAGTTCTTCTTTTGTCTTAAAAGCTTAGCATTCAAGTCAACTTGGTAATTGTTGGCGTCAATCTTTAGAGCAACTCTTCATTGTGCTCTTGCATTCTTCATCAACAATCTAAACACCCCTTGAGGAACCCACGTCTTAAAGGTTGCTATGCTTTTCTTCCTTTGTTTGTGTTAATCTTTTCTTGTTCATGCAAAATGATCTCTTGGTGGGTATAATCTAGTTTTATGTTGTTTAAATCTTAAATGCTTATGTTGATATCCTTGTGTTTTTGGAACCAAATTTTTGAATAAAACTCAATAATTGATATCAGAGCCATATTTTCATGCATGGTTAGATTTTTAGATTATTTGGATAATCTTAGTTTTTGAAAAACACGGATAAGTTTCTTTTGTAAGAATATGTTCATACATGTTTTCTATGACAACTTTAAAATTGTTATAATTGTTATTTTATGTGACCAAAAGTTTACATGTATTTTTTCATAAAAGTTGTCTTAAAAAATATAGAGTTGTTATATATGTTAATGTATATTTGAAGTTGATAAACAAGTCATTGACCATTTGTGATGTTGTTTGTGTTAATTTTTTAAAATGGTTGTAATATTATATTTTTTTTTTCATATGGTTTGTAATAATTAATTAAATAGTTTTTCATCTTTTTTACTTTTATGAGTATAAGATTAGTGTTAAACAAGTTTTTTTTTTCTAAAATGTAATAAAATTAAAGATGGCGGTCATTTTGAATAAACAAAAACACACCCACTGTTATGGAGGCTATTCATGACCCTTCACAGAGTTTTCATGATCTTCTAACAAGGAGTTGTCTAACCAAGTGGGAGCGTAAAGAACACCATTTAGAAGATTTGGTCTCATTTGTCCCTTAGGAATGAACTTATCATTTTTGTAATGTCTCACAAATATGTCACTAGTTTATGGCTTGGTTTATAATCACATGCATGCTTGTGATGTTTAAGTTTATGTGGATATTATGTTTGGTTGAAAAATAAGATTTTGCATGCTAGATATATTTTGAACATAAAATCATCACATGGAGTTTGGGTTTAAAATTTTGACTTTAAACATAAAATGTATAAAATGGTTTTAAAATAAAATGAGTTCTATCATTTAAAACTTTAAAATGGAAAATTATGAAGATTAAAATTAATCTGTTTAAAATAATGATTTTAGAGACTTATTCAAACTCAAAACCATTAATAATAAAGGATGTTTTATTAAAGGTGTAACATCTAATTCAAGTATGATTTAATTCTATGCATGGTAAAAGTTTTGATTTGGATTTTTGGAATTTTGCTTTCTCACGACACGGTGGTTGGGTTACCATAGCTTGGTATTGCCACGTGTATGTGGGGCGATGATCATTTAATTGTCGCAACGCGACGCCACAATGGGAACAAAACCCTAAGTTTCGAGCTTTGGGCCTTATTTAAAGGATGTGATGGCTAGGGTTTCCTCAACCCTGAACCTCCATCACCATCATAGTCCATCCACCAAACCCTAGCCTCCCTCTTAACCTTTTGAGCTCATTTTGCTTGTTTTATGCGCCTTGAAGGAGTAGTGTGAACTTTTGGAAGCAAGGAAGCAAGAAACTAGTTGGATTATGTTTTATAATCATTCTATGGACTACTATAAGTCTTCAAGACTCAGATTTGGTGCTTAATACTCTTTTAGTCTTGAGATTTTGGCTTGTCTTGCCATTCTTTGAGTTTTTAATGAAGTGTTGAAGTCAAGTTTGCAACTACACTGTTCCACAAGGTCCCAAGAGTATTTAATTGTGTTAGATATTATCTTTTATCTCCATTTGGTGCCATGCATGGAGTTTTGACCTTATTTTACCCAATTTTGACATAGAATGGTGTAAGATATGCATTGGACATGCATGTATAAAAGTTATGATTTTAATGTACTGTTAGTGAGTAGTAAAGCCTTATGGAAAGTACGAGGCTTGCACATAAAGGATTAAGAACTTAATGAATGTGTTGTTCCTATAGAAAACTCGCAACGCGATTCACAGTCATTTCCCGCGACTTCCGAAAAGAACCTCGGCTATCAGAATCGGCCCTAACCACATTGACACTCATGGCTCCATTATTCCTTCTGACTACCTGTCGCCACTGAATCTAATACAAAAAGTGAATGCTACCAGAACCACTGTAGTCTTACATCACGCCTGGTCTCCAACGACCTTCCATTTCCCGAATCCGATCATATTGTGTCCTACTCACATTCATGCGGCTGGCCCGCACTGGCCTAAATCATCTAAAGGAATCCGTGAGTAAATCACAAATCTGTCACATTCTCACTGTCGAATAGGGACCGGTGAATGCTACTGGTCACCCCGTAGTCTTACAACACTCCCATACTAACTGGCCACTAGTGAATGCTACGGGCCACCCCCGCAATCTTACTAAGCCACTATACTAACGAATAACTAACGAATGCTACGGGCCACCCCCCGTCAGTCTTATGAAGTTTCTACTCTATCTGCCAATTAGTGAATGCTACGGCCACACCACAGTCTTACAACACTTCTACACTACCTGCTAATTAGTGAATGCTACGGGCCACCCTGCAGTCTTACAACACTTCTACACTACCTGCTAACTAGTGAATGCTACGGACCACCCTACAGTCTTACAACACTTCTACATTGTCTGCTGACTAATGCTACGGGCTACCCCACAGTCTTACCACATTCCCCATGCTATCTGGCCACTGGTGAATGCTACGGCTATCCCGCAGTCTTACGACACCTTCCATGCTATCTGGTTGCTGGTGAATGCTACGGCTATCCCGCAGTCTTACATCACTTCCCTCGCTAACTCAATCACAGACCATGGTCTTAGTGCTGATTACCAATCCGAACACACCCAAGGTCGAGCACACACACGGTCTAACATCCCACACTGAACTTATTTCCTGACTAAGATCCTCAATCTAGTTCCCCATAGCCTGCTACACATCAATCATATATGGTCTGAAAGTCAGGAAGTTTCCCGAACTTCCATTTCACACTATCCTCCATTCAGGAAGCCACTTGGGCCACCTTTCCTTTCCTAATGGGGATACGATCTCATCCCAATTTCACACTTGCTTCCATCCTGGGTACCTGAACGGTTCTCCCCCACTTCGATTCGATTAAGTCTCCACGACATACGAGAAATGGAAGGATTCTCGATCCTTCCTACCTTCCAATGATCGATCTGCTGACAACCTGCGCTTACCAATGCTAGCGACCCATTACTAGGCTAACTTAAAAGACCATACAACCCCTGAAGACTAGATGAACACTTTCTGAATTCTAGCAGTACTGATAACTCCAGCTGCCTTGAAATGATACTGTACTCAGATCTTGAATTCCAAATAACCGATGCTCCGACCAAAACCTCGGCAATAGACCACTTCACTTGGCGACCCCATGAGTCAATCTGAGCACAATGACTGAACCCTCCGAAACCTGACGTGGGTGGATAACCACCCTGCAGAACCCTAACCGCAGACCTTCCACATAATTTCCCTGAACCGATCTCGATTACGAGCCGAGATAACGCTTAACACCCCGAACCAGCAATAGGGATAACGAACTTACGCTAACCAC